TTAACGGGAAACAATCATATTTTCTTGGTTGAAGTCCATCATGGGCAGGTCTATTACAAAATAGCTTTAAATGTCTACAACAATTCTTGCTTGAATCGAAGGATAAATCATAAATGTATTTGAAAGAGTAAATAAATTTTGAACCAATGATTTACAATAAAATTAAGCTTGCTACACACGGCCAGTTATAACTGGACTATTCAATTAAAATTCCCAAAAGCGTCTGTAGCGAGCTTTACTTAGAACATAATCGATATAGTTGGTAAGTAAATGAGTATGTAACACTTTAGTTGGCACATCCCACCAAAGAGTATCCGTATTCCCTACGTGCCAATTGAGACACTTACCAATGTTTAAGGCAAGCGCAGACAACCACGAAGGTGACGATGCCAGTGAAGAGCACGATGAGCAGCGCTATCAGGGCAGCCAGTGCAGGGTCGAAGGTGTCGGGCTGTGCTGCGGCGCTGGCCGCCACCAGCGTCTCCACGCCGAACTCCTGGTACACGTCCTTCAGCTGGTCGTACTTGCCGTCGATGGCCTGCAGCACGCGCTCCACTGGGAGCACTTCGTATGTCGCAGGGTCCACCGCGTGAAGGTGGATCTCGCACCTGATCATCATTTGACGTCTTAATAATAGCTTATTGTAATGAGGCGTTTTACTAATTTTATAAATGTGAAAGTTTAGGTAAGTGAATGGATGTTTGTTGGTTTTGTAAACAGCTGAAGAGATCTCAATTAATTTGTCATAGATGTGGAGGATAGTCTAATAGTCGGAAGAACACATATGTTAGTTATGTTTGTTTTAGTTTTTTTTTTAATTCCACGCGCCGCAGTCGCAGATAAAAGTTCTTTTATACTAATAACTGTACTACAGGTTTTCTTAAAGAACTTTGAATCAGATGTGTAATTTCCAATTTTAATGTCCTACTGTAATAAAGATAAAAATTAAAAACAACGCCATCTAGTTGAGAAAACAGATAACTGTTCAACAAAACAAGTATAGTACTTTTCAGATATCTTAGGCGCTCTTCTCTAAGTCACAGTGGAAAAATACAAAGTTAACCATAGTACGTCTATGTCCTTGAGCATTTGAAAAGAAGTATCCCAATAGCAATGGTATCTGACCAGTCGTCATGCAGCCTGTCGGCCTGCACGAGCGGCAG